GTTTGTGATCTGTCAACACTGCGAACACTGCACCATAAAGATAGTGCCGCCACGTCCGCAAAGCATGAACAATAGAGAGTAACTCTTGCTCATATGTGGAATAGCGTTGCTCCGCGGAATTCAAAGTTCGACTCTCATATGCAATAGGCTGTCCCTCTTGCATGAGAACTCCTCCCAGTGCATAACCATTCGCATCGCATGTCACCTCGTAAGGTTTCGATGGATCAGCAATGCGAAGCACTGGAGCCTCGCTCAACAATCGTTTCAGCGCCACAAAACTCTCCTCTGATACCAATGTTATGATCCGGCGCAAAAAGACAAAGATCTTCTGCTTCTTGGACCCCTAAGCATCACAAGTTGAAGTCGGTGGTGACTACTTCAGATGCAAAGGGGTCCAAGAAGCAGAAGATCTTTGTCTTTTTGCGCTGGATCATAACATTAATGTTAGGATCCTATCCCTTACACCCTAAGCTAATTGGCTAAAGGGGTGATCACTTGATTGCAGGGCCCTTTCCTTATCCTATTATTCTGACCTGACCTGGTGCTTAACATCAGGACTTCCACATCTACTCCATCCTTTGGAACAAGTAGCAAATCATGTAAGTACCCCCTTTCATTATCTACCAATCATCACTCTTGAATCATGGTTTTGGACCCTTAGATTTTACATCAATAATGTCCCTTTGCATGTCCATAAAACAACGAAGCCATCGGGATCCCATTCCCAAAGAGCCAGCCCATGGGGATCTACTTGAGCCTGTGGAATGGAGACGACTGGGCTACTCATGGCGGCCTGGAGAAGATCAACTAGGATCACACTCCATTCGTGGCAGCATACAAGGGATTCAGCGTGGATGCTTGTGCGGGGGCTTGCGCATGGAATCATGCAGCGCTCCCATGGGCAACTGGTGGGAGCAAGAGGCTTTCCAGAGCATCGACCAGGAAGCCAAGGGCCAACTCCAATGGGTCAAAGACAACTACATGATCTATGACTACTGCAACAATAGCAAGAGGTTTTCTACCATTCCAGCCGAGTGTGGCCGGTTTTGATATTTCTAAGTTCTATATTTTTGAAAGATTGTATTCTTAGGTTGCACAGGCTTTTATTTTATTGTAAACGTGATAATAATTTTAAACATTCTGTAAACTAAATGTAAATGGGCATTTGGTCTAGTGGTATGATTCTCGCTTTGGGTGCGAGAGGCCGTGAGTTCGATTCTCGCAATGCCCCTTTCGATAACGTTTTCAACTGCTCGCTTAATCAGGACAGGGTTTTTAGGGCCACGTGGTTGTTTACATACGATTGGTGAGATTTTTATGCCTTCTCTAAGCTTTAACACTAGGTAGAAATGGTTGGAACCACGGTGGTCCCGGCCATATATATATATATACACACGATTTGAATAAGTCTAGTGCTTGAATTTGCAAGCAAGCTTTCACACGATCTATAGTTCTCCGAAGTTTCACTTATTCGTACTTATTACCACCTCTATCCGGAATTAAAAATACTTCATCAGAGAGAGAGAGAGAGAGAGAGAGAGAGAGAGAGAGAGAGAATGTTACATTGTAAATCTCTTCTGATTTAAGCACACGAATTCTCTTACCTACACAGATGAGCTTGGCCTGCGAAACAAGTGATAGGCAGAGATCGCAGAACTGTTGGCCAGCGCCAGAACAGCAATGAAGGAAAGAATAATGGAGGCACCGGCACGCGTACAGAAGGTGTTGAAAGTCGAACAGATGGGCTGCCATTGCGCTCGAGAGGATCCGTTCTTGGCGATGTAAGCCAGCTCCGCCGCCGCCGCTGCCGCTCCCAGCATAGCGTACGTCAAGATCTATCACGAAACCAAAGAGCATAGATCGAGCCTGAGAAATTTGGATCCACAGTTTGGCATACCTGGTCAGCGATGAAGTTCATCCAAGCCCAGCACTTCGTGGGTGACTTCCACGACTTGGAACAGAGATGGAAGGCGGAGAGAATGAATTGGAGAAACGAGTAGCCGAGGCAAATAGCACTGATGGCGACCAGAGCTCTGCGAGAGGATCAAACATATAACATTTGGCGAGGGGAGTGTATATGGAAGGACTTACACGAAGGCTTTAGAGTTATCCCACTCGGCCTTGAAGATCATGACGCGCTGCTTGGCGTGAACCATGACGGCAATCACCAAAATCGAGACGACCACCGCCACGAGGCGTAGAAGCAGGCTGTGGAGCAGCAGCAATCGCGAGGGCCTGGAATTGGCAGCAGTGCTCGCAGGAGCTGCTCGAGGAGCTTCAGCACCGTCGTAAGCGCCCATGATGTCCGGAAGGACAAACAAAGCTAGAAAAAAAAAACGGAGCGCGAGGATCTCTCTAGCAAATGATTGTGCTGGAACTTCCCAAAGAAATCCGAGAATCTCTTTCTCTCTCTCGATTACTCTCCTAAGTTCTGTCGCACGGAAGGAAAACGAGCGAAGTACACCGCCTATATTTCAAGCCCTCTTTCTCACCGTGTGATAAGTACTCGCTTTTTTTCTCTCTCGGCCAGCCTAGAGTGACTCGCAAAGATTGTGGGCTACGCGATTTTATCTTTATCCTTTGTAATGCAAAGTCGCGTCAACGATTAAATACCAAAGCGAGCCCCGCGCCTGCACAGAGTGAGGCGGCAGCGTTCACACGAGAAGTGCGTGATCCATATCGAGCAAAACAAAGTTTCTAAATTCCGGCGCGCAACATGTATAGTTGACCCATTTACACCAAGCTTTTTTAAAGAAGCTCATTCTTGTGACAAAAGGTAGAAAACGTGAATCACTGCAACGAATAAAGAAAGGAGGCAACCGGGGTCGAACCGGTGACCTATCGGACTGCAGCCGATTGCTCTACCACTGAGCTATACCTCCAACTTGTGTGAGGGTTATCGGCTTGGCAAACAATACCAGGTGTTTGCTATTTGATTTTGAGACTGGCGGTCTTTTTCGCGAGATCCTCTGGGTCGGCGTCCACGGGCGAGGGGGCCTCGCCGTCCTTGTGCTCCATGGCCTTGTTGTAACGCAAGACATCGACTGGACCTTCCTTGGGTCGTGGCAGCCACTTTCGCAGCCACTTCTCCTCCTTGGGATCCACCATCTTCATCGACACCAGCTTGCGCAACACCTCCTCCTGGACGCGCAGGCTCTTGCGCATCGTCGACCCCTTGAGCGCTTGCCAGTCGTAGAGCCACACGCGCTTGCCGCTGGGCTTGCGCAGCCTGGGTAGATTCAAATCGATCAGCTGTGGATCGATCCAGCCGATGCATTGGCCAGAGGGAAGAGGAGTTCTCGGAGGATTGAAGTAGTACCTGTAGGCATCGCCCCGGATGAGCGCCTTGGGCTTCCTGCAATGCCAGTTCCTCGTCTCGCGATTGGAGATGGCGTGCAATCTCCCCAAGAGCGCCAGGTTCTCGTCCTCGATCACGTGAAGCCTTTCTGGGTGAAAAATGCCATCGCTTCAGTGAGAGAGCATCGGTCGATCGATTCGTACCTTCTTCCTGGAGTTGCCGGCACCGATTCTGAGCTGCCGAGAAGTAGAAGGGCGAGCTATTGTCGATGGCGGCGGTCATGTGTCGCAGGCGCTGCTTGTGGCGATTCATCTCTTGCTCCTCCTCCCACTGCACATAGGCCGTCTTCTTCATGTACTGCTTGAAGCGGCTGTCTCTGGCCAGCGCCCTGGAACTCATCGCTACCGAATTCCTGCGCGATGCGAGCTACCTCCCAAGCGCGATGGCGATGGCGCGCGATCGCCACTCCCTCGTGCCCATGATCTCAAGCGTTCTCTTGGGGCAAACCTGGAGGGCTTTGCTGACGTCACCAAAAGGAAATATGGAAAAGGCGGCATTATCCGGAATATGTTTGTAAGCGGAATGTGCTCGCGGTAACGGAATATGCTGAGAACTCCTCTCCCCTGCATTAGGGTTCTTCAGCTCCAGCGATGGAGTAGCGGGCGCTGCTGCGATTCTCGCCGCTCCCGCCGCTGGGATGGCTGCGGCCTCTCAAGCTCATGTAGAATCGGAGGCTACCAAGTTTTTGCAGAAGGTTGGGCAGGATCTCAAGGATGAGCCGCCGCGGCTGGCATCTAAACTCTTCGCGGTGAGTTAGCCGATGATCTGTGACTGGATTATGGCTGAGTTTTGATCTCTGTGTAGATCTGCCAGCATATGAAAATGACTGGGAGGGAGCAAACTCTTCCATTCCAAGTGATATCGAGGTTAGTGCTCCTCCTCTTCGTTTTGGGGCGAATGACGTCCTTTCTCTTTTAGAGCTCTCGAGAAGGTTTTGACAACGTATAATCTGGACCACAGCGTTTTGGGATCATCATCTCGAGGTCCATCAGCACCCGGTAGAGACGTTGCCGTGTTTGGGATTCCCGAAACTAAACAGGCGACTTTGATCGCAGGTTCCAGCGGGTCTCATGAAGCTGGGTTGAAGGATGATCAGCCGCGGCAGCTGGAAGAGATGTCTCATCCGTTTCTCGGACATGATGCTGGGCGACGCTTCTCTTCGGATCAAACTGTTGGAGCAGGAGCGTTTCCAGATGCTGGGACACCAAACTCGCAGCAAAAGCGAAAGCTGCCCGCTGATGAAGCAGCGGGAATTTCTTTCGCGGCCAAAGGACACGCTTTCAAAACACCACGGCTGGATGACGCGACCGTCGTCAGCCCAGAGCACCACCTCTTACGATTGAAACAGTTGCAAGCACAGCAGCAGCAGCAACAGCAGCAACAGCAGCAAGGCTTGGGAAGCTTGGACATGTCAAAGGCAATGTCCGCAGTGCGAAGAGCAAACTCTGGTGCTTCGCCGGAGTCTGGAAAGGCCGACTTGCAGTCTACAGGCTTTTCGGGAGGCGTTCCTACAGAAGGTGGCGATGGCATGTCAAGTCCACAGGGAAATCGAGCAGGAGCATTCAACTCGTATTCGCCCATACGTCCTTCGCAGGGATCTTTCGGGCCTCTCGATCCTCAGCAACATATTCACGAAGCTTTTGGCCTGCCTAGGCCCGGTGAGACCTTTCGACTGGGTAAAGCTGGAAGCTTGACACCACCACCGGAGCAAGTACACATGCAGAATACCGGAACCTTGCAAAGTCTGGAAACGCAGCTGCCTCCGAAATCGTTTGTAAGTCCTGGAAAGGCTTACGTCTCTGGGCCAAATGGAGGTCCATTGGCTGTTGGGCCTTCGCCTTTCAGTGACTTTCAGCTGAAACAACTCAAGGCTCAGTGTCTCGTGTTTCTGTCATTCAGGTAGGGGGATTCTGTTGGAACGCTTTTCTATTGACTTCTGAATTTTGCAGGAACAAAACCGTACCAAAGAAGTCGCAGCTTGTGCTAGCACTGCAATCTCAACAGGAAATGCTGAATGCTGGTAAATGCTTAATGATCTGCCTTGTCCATTCAGTGTAACGTGTGTGTCGTTTTTTCCAGAAGCAGCTAATGCAGGGCCATCAACAATCCAACCGCAAAAGCCTGCAGATCCTCCTGTTGAGTCCTCTGAGGCTGCTGAGCAGGACTCTAGTGCTGAAGCAGAAAGAGACTCGGAATCCGGAAGCCTTCCAAGCGCCAAAACTCCGGCTGTTGCCGTCCCTCCTCAAAATGCAAACAAGGAAGCCGAGTCCGTGAAGAAGCCCAAGGTGAAAAAGAAATATCCACCTATAGATCCTAATTTGACACCGGAGGAGAGGAAGGTGCTAATCAACACGCGGAGGAAAGAAGCCAGGGCGGAGGCCATGGCCGCCCGAAAGGCGTCAAGAGCCGCGGCTAGCGCTCAGGCGGCAGTAGCGGAGGAGAGTCCCGATACGTCCGCTCAGGAAGTGGACACTCCTGAAGCTAAGCGATCAAAGGTTGACACGCAGGTGGATCAGGTGCCTCGGGAGAAAGAACCGGTTGTCTACGAGAGTCTCAAAAAAGACATACCAAGGCAGTTTCAGAGTCCAAGTCCAAGTCGGCTAAAAGCTGTGACCAGTACTCCTGAAAATACTACTGCAGCTGCAACTGTCATGGAGCATGAAGAAACGAGGATGGCAGCCTCGTCTATCCAACCTTCAACAATCGCCAAAGAGACGTCAAACTACGTTACTTTACCGAATGGAGATCTCATTCCCAAGAACTACCTGATAACTTTGCCAAACGGCGAGCGCGTGGAACTTCAAAGGCTATTGGAGTCGGCGAAATCCTTTCAGACGTCCCAAACAAACTCGGGCCAAGCCGCAGTTTTAAGTTCGCTCACCAGAGAGAAAGCGCAAGATCCAGCTTTTGATGGTGGAACATCTTCTCCAGCTTTCAAGCTTCAGGACCCGGGACTGCAGCAGGCAAGTCAAGGACAGTTGCAGAGACATATATCAGCTCAATTGCAAGGACACATATCATCACAGTTGCAAGGACACACCTCGTCACAGTTGCAAGGACATATAGTAGCGCAAGCGCAAGGACACATGCAGACGCAAGTGCAAGCACAGGTCCAAGCGCAGTTGCAACCTCCGGTTCAACCGCAGTTGCAAGTTCCAATTCAAACGCAGGTGCAAGCTCCGACTCAAGCACCGTTCCCAGGGCCTGTTCAAACGCAAGTCCAACCTCAGATTCAACCACAGGCGCAAGCGCCGATTCAGGCACAGATGCAAGCACCGGGGCAAGGACAGATGCAGCTCTTAAACAATGGCGTGACAGAAGTTACAACTTCCCGACCAGCAACGGCTGAGCAGGCTGAAGACTTGTTACCGGGAGAGACTCCTGTTTATTCTAGCAAGCCACAGTACAGCACCATCGATAAGTGGTCAATAGACGAACGGAGAAAGAAGTTTATGGCGGATCAAGTGTGGGTACAGAAGCAGAGGAAAACTGAAGAGAACATCGGAACACGTTTTAATGAGCTTAAGGTAAGATGGATTTCTTTTCTGTGTCTTATTTTACGGTGTTTTCTTTCAGGCAATTGTAAGCTCGTCCGATGACTCGTCATCCAAAACAAAAAGTGTTATTGAGCTCAAGAAGCTTCAACTTCTTCAACTTCAGCGGAAATTGCGAAGGTAAGTTAGCAAGTATCCGAATCTTTAATCGTTTCGTTTCTCTTATGCAGGGAAGTTTTACACGATTTTTTCAAAGCTATTGCCCCAGAAATGGCTCAGTTGCGAGGTATGAAGAAGAATCGTCCCTTGAGGCGTCTCAAACAGTTGGAACGCTTGGAGCAAAAGCAAAGAGAGGAGAGATCTCGACGAATTAAAGATAGGCAAAGAGAGTTTTTCAAGGACATTGAACTTCAACGGTATGTTGATCTATGAAAATTGCATAATAGTTTTTCTTTTATCTCAGAGACAAGCTGGAGGACTGGAACAAGGCAAAGAGAGAGCGCTGGAAAAGCTTTAACCGCTATGTGCGGGATACTCATAAGAGGAAGGATAAAGTCCATCGGGAGAAGCTTGATAAAATACAGCGTGAGAAGATTAACCTTTTGAAGAACAATGACGTGGAAGGCTATCTTCGAATGATAAAGGTTCTTTTTGTTTTCTTTGATGACTATTTGCTGATAACTATTCATGAACCCCAGGATGCAAAATCTGATCGAGTTGAACAACTGTTACGAGAAACCGAGTCTTATCTAGAAAAGCTTGGAACAAAACTCCAGGAGCAAAAGAAAGAGATCGGCAGATCGGACAGCGACCTTTTCAATCAGTTCTCTGTCATGACTAAGAAAGAACAGTCGTACGACCAAGCTGAGGTAAGATCTTGTAGGCTCCATGGACGTTTACTCGAACATTCTGTTTTGTAGCACTATCTGGAAAGCAACGAAAAGTATTACTTACTCGCTCATAGGTAAGAAGCTTCTCTTTATTCTGACGAAATCATTGTTTGATTTTTTTTCCTGTGTCCAGCGTGAAAGAAAGCATTCCGTCCCAGCCTGCGAGCCTCCATGGTGGCACACTTCGAGAGTTAGTAGCTTTTAACATGAATGTCCTCGTCTCAAATTACGTGCTGATTGCAGATATCAAATGAATGGGTTGCGATGGCTGGTATCACTGTATAACAATCATTTGAACGGTATGCTTGCGGACGAGATGGGTTTAGGAAAAACAGTTCAGGTACGTTTCTTTATTATTTTGTTCAAGCTAATGTATAATGTGGTTTGCAGGTGATTGCTTTGATATGCTATTTGATCGAGGCCAAACATGATCGAGGTCCTTTCCTAGTCGTTGTACCTTCATCGGTGTTACCAAATTGGATGTCAGAAATTACTCGATGGGCTCCCAATGTTATAAAACTTTCATATACTGGTACTCCTGATGAGCGACGTCGGCTGTTCAAGTAAGCTCACGAAATTTTGTTCATGACTAACTGTTGTTCGCTAATTTCTAGGGAACATATTGTCCAGCAACAATTCAATATTCTTGTGACAACATATGAGTATTTGATGAATAAGAACGATAGACCAAAATTGAGTAAGATACGTTGGCATTACATTATAATTGACGAAGGTCATCGGATAAAAAATGCATCTTGCAAACTGAATGCTGAACTGAAGCATTATCAGAGCAACAATAGGCTTTTGCTGACTGGCACACCTATTCAGGTACTTCACTAGTTTCCTGCTGCATATATCTAATGGTTTCATTTGAACGTGAAGAACAATCTCGACGAGTTATGGGCGCTGCTTAATTTTCTACTTCCCAGCATCTTTAACTCTTCGGAAGACTTCGCGCAGTGGTTCAATAAGCCATTTGAAAGTGTTGCAGACAACGGAGACACTGAGGTAAACCCGTGTACTATGGCTATTTCTTATGTATTTCTCTGGTAGGCGCTGCTGACGGAGGAAGAAAACCTGCTTATTATCAACCGCTTACATCAAGTGCTGCGTCCATTTGTATTGCGAAGATTGAAACATAAGGTGAGTAGGAAAACCATGGTGAAGATGAGTTGTGATTTTTCATGCTCTTGCAGGTTGAGTATGAACTTCCCGAAAAGATTGAACGCTTGGTTCGCTGCGAGGCTTCTGCTTATCAGAGGCTCCTGATGAAACGTGTAAAAGAAAAAATGGGAGGAATTGGTCATGCAAAGGTAATATTTTTCTATTCTTGAATTTGCAATTAAGATGACTCGCCTTGTACAGGTACGATCAGTGCAAAACACGGTAATGGAACTTCGAAACATATGTAATCATCCTTACCTTAGCCATGTCCATACGGAAGAGGTATTGTTTTACAATTTCCCTTAACATCTTGACTTGATCGCTCTCTTCACAGGCCGAAAGCTTGTTACCTTCTCATTATCTTCCTACTGTTATTCGTCTTTGCGGGAAGCTGGAGATGCTTGACAGAATTCTTCCGAAACTAAAAAAATCGAACCACAGGGTATCACTATCCTATTTTTTCCTCTGCTTGATCTGACTTGCATAATAACTCAGGTGCTTCTTTTTTCTACCATGACGAGACTGCTTAACGTTCTCGAAGATTACCTTACATGGAAGGGTTATAAGTACTTACGGCTTGATGGTCATACTATGGGAAGTGAACGTGGATCACTTATCGACAGATTTAATGCACCTGACTCTGATGCGTTCTTGTTCCTTTTGAGGTTTGCACATTCTTAAAGTTGTACGGTTTCTAACGGACGTTGATGAACAGTATCCGAGCAGGCGGCATAGGCGTGAACTTGCAGGCTGCTGACACTGTTATTATATTTGATACTGACTGGAATCCACAAGTACTAGTTTTCGCCTACTTTTATCCTGTAATATTAACAACTATTTCAGGTGGACCTTCAAGCTCAAGCAAGGGCTCACCGAATCGGCCAAAAGCGTGATGTTCTAGTTCTGCGCCTTGAAACGGTAGCCTTTATAAATTTGTACCTGCCATTTCAACTCGTTTTGGAACAGGTGAACACAATTGAAGAGCAAGTAAGGGCGTCTGCAGAACACAAGCTTGGTGTCGCCAATCAAAGCATTACTGCAGGATTCTTTGATAACAATACCAGGTACATTTTTGCGCATAGCCCAAATGAAGAATACACTACATGCTTGTTTTTTGAACTTTTACTCTCCAGTGCTGAAGACAGGAGAGAATACCTGGAATCTCTTCTAAGGGAGTCCAAAAAGGAAGAAGTCGCTGCAGTTCCGGACGACGATGCTCTGAATTATCTTTTGGCACGCAGGTGAACGGAAAGGAGAAGCTTTCTATATTTTTCTAAGCTTAATTTCACCCTGACAGCGACGATGAAATCGACGTTTTTGAATCTGTCGATCGAGAAAGACGTGCCGAAGAAGAAGTAAGTCTAGTTTTCCTTCTGGTACCGTTTTCCATAGCAAGCTTTTTCTTTTTCAGATCATATGGCGAACAATGAACAATTGCGAAGATGGCGATGAGCATCCAGAAATGCCTCCACGTTTGCTCGGAGAATCAGAGTTGAAGCCTGTTATGTCGATTATTCACAAGGCTGATGCAAAAAGAAAAAAGACAGCTAGCTCGTTGGATACTCAGCACTATGGCAGAGGAAAGCGGACTCGCGAGGTAAATATTTGAATTATTATTATTTTTTTTTTGGCACTGTATTCATTTTCTTCGTACAGATACGTTCGTATGGAGATCAATTAAGTGAGCAGGAGTTCGAACAGTTGTGCAGAGCGGAGTCGCCAGAACACGAGAAAAAACCAGAAGTTGTTGTAGGCACCAGGCCTCGCAGAAAAGGCAAAGCCAGTGTCAGCGCAGATGATGAGAAAGATGTGACATACGTTGAAGAAGTAGAGGTAGTAGAGGAACCACCAGTTAAAAGAGGTCGTGGTAGACCAAGAAAAAATCCAGAAGCAGTTCAGCCACCACGAGGCAAGGCGCATGCAGCAGCTGAGAAAGAAGAGCCTATAAACCTGGACACTCTTAAGTTGAGAACGGACACTTCACAAGCACCAGAGACAACCTTTAAGCGTTTAAAGAAAGCTGTACAAGGAGAAGCGAAGAAAACTGAAACAGAAACCAAATCAGAACTAAAGAAAAGGAAAGTTTCACCCATGGTCGAAGAGAAAGAAGATGATGAAGAAACTACGACAGATGCTAAAGCACGGTCTGAAACTGGTAGCAAAACGTTCGCCATTTTACGAGCAGCTGATGATGTCAAAGTAGCGCGGACTGGGATAGAAATTATCACTCCGGCAGTGAAGGTTGCTGGAACTGAAGATCTCACCAAGAGGCAGAAAAGTGAACTTGATGACAAGTCTGCGAATGCATCAAGCCCCGACAGTGAACCTGAAGAACCAGATTCTTCAAAGTAAGAGTTGCTTTCGAACTATTTGAGTATCACATTCTTCTTCGCAGGTCTGACAAAGAAACGGACAACATCGCACGCGATGAAATTCGTACTACAGCTGGTGAGATCGTCGAAAGTATTGATGCTGCGCCAACTTTACAGAACAACGATAGCGCGATCAGGTAAAACATGTAAATTACATTAGTTTGAAAACGCTGACATTTCTTCAGTAGGTTTCTGGAATGTGACACAGAAACGCAGAAGCCTCAGGGTGGTGAAGTTGCTGGTTGCGAGCAAGGCGTCACAAAGTAAGGATGTTCACTTTTTCTTCTCCAGGTCTTTGACTTGTTTTTTCGACGTCTGCTAGAAATGACAGTGCTGAGATTCTCAGAGAGAATTTACCATCGGAATCTATGGATGAGCAACCGAAAGACTCTGTCCCTGAAATCCAAAACGTCACTGGCAAAGAAAACGAAATAGTATGTGCGACTGGCGTTGCGGATCATGCAAACGAAGACCCTGGAACCGGTGATGGAAGTGCTGGAAGCGATTCTGGGTAACATATCATTAGTGATTGATTGTGATTGAAATTCCTCACATGATTTCCTGGTTTCGTAGGGATAATTCTGCTCTTGACGTTTCAAAGGCTATGGAAGACAAATCTTCTAGTGTCGCAAGCCATTCCGGAGAGTCTGGGCATGGTCCTGATGCTGACGACAAACTTCCTGACGCCTCGGAGGGTGTTTCAGATAGTAAGCATTTTGCTGCTAGTGCGGACGCTGAGCAGGTCGATAGTGAAACGGATAGGAATATCCAGGATGGGATTGATATGGGCACGACCATTTCCCAAGAAAAGTCTCGAAGTCCAGGAGTTGCCGTTGACAAGAAAGGTGAACCACCTTCACTTAGCGATAAACTTCCGTCCGAAAACGTCGAATCAGAAGACCGTGAAGCTGAGCACATGCATGGAGGTAAGAAAGATCAGGTATCTTTGTTCTCATTTTTGTTTTTCTGCAGATCTGGCTACTGGATTAACTCTTGAAGGGAGTGATGAACCTGTGGGCATTTTAAGCTCAAACAATGAACCACCTTCACCCAGCGATAAACTTGAGAGCGCACTATTTCCTGCTGCCGCAGAATGCAAGGAACCCGAATCGGACGAGCTTGAACCAGAGCACAATCTCCAAATGCATGAAGGTGAGAAGAATCACGTATGTTCTGTACTTATTTCAGTTATCTGCAGAGTTGGATAGGGGATTGACTCTTGAAGAGGGTGGTGTTACTGAACCAGCTTTCTCCAGCGATAAACTTGACAGCAAGAAAACTGATTCAGACGAGCGTAAAGCCGAGAACTATGAGGACCAGCTGCAAACGCATGCAGGTGAGAAGGATCACGTCAATTCTGTCCTTATTTTATTTTATTTTCTTTAGATGTCGATAATGGATTGGCTATTGAAGCGAGTGATGATGTCGGTGTTTTACGCGTAAAAATGGAAACTCCAGCTACCCAAGACGATAGCTCTGAGACGTGAGTTTTCTGTCCATGCTGACATGTCTTAGTTAACCTTCACATACAGTTTTCCTGCACACGAGAAGGAAATTGATCCCCAAAAGGAAAATGAAGGGAATTATTTCCCGCGGCTTGATACTCCTGAAATGTAAGAACGAACTTCAAAAACTCGTTATCACCTTGCACCTATTTCTTCTATAGATGTCTCGAACGTAATGATACGGGCAGCGCTAAACTTCAGACTTTGCATTCGACTTCGACATTTATTACGGCAGAATCGACAGAGGTTGGAAAGGTCGCCTTATCAACGGAAGGTATTATCAAGATGCTACCCGATAACTCTTTACCAATTGAAATTCAATCCCCAACACGTTTTACGGACACTGAAATGTAAGCAACGCTTATTGATCGACTGGTAATGAAACACTATTTTGCAGATCCGAGAACCATGGGAATGAAAGGGCTACTGATGTACTTCAAGCTGACAAAGACATGGAAAAGGAGAATGTCCCTGAACCGGCAAGTTATGAAATTGGCTCTAGGCTGGATGATGGCAGTAGACGGTAACTATCTTCAATATTCTAGTGATCGATGGGGCTGACTTTTGTTTGATACGAAGTTGTCTTTTTCTGCGTGAGGTCAAGGCTGAGGAAACTTCTACACCCGAAGGATCTGACAAAAATGGTGACGACAGGATTCCTGAGAATGAACAGGCAGGCAAAAGTTTACATGCATCGCCTCTTGTTGATGGATCAGGAGACGTCGAAATGGCCGATGCTCGTGGTGAAGATGTAGCAGATGCTAATGTGGAGGAAGGAAATGCTGAACGTGTCATTATGGAGGACGCAGAAATCAATCTTCTCGATTCTCCCTCAAGCTTTAAACCTGAAGTTGCAGCTGGAGCTGATCTTGACGAAGTTGAAGGCCCAAAGGCAGGACAAGATGACGGAAAATCGAGTGATGACGTCGAAGGCTTGACGGCAGAAAGAGCTGACGGAGTAACTGAAGGCTCACAACAGGAAAGAGCTGGTGGAGTGAAATCAAGAACTGATTCAGATGAGGTTGAAGGCTCGAAGACGGAAAGAGTTGACGGCGTGGAATGGGACATCGGCACTGGTGTCAAACGTTAGACTGAGATTTTCTTCTTTTTTTTCTCTCTGAACTTTTTTCTCAAAGTTTTATTATTTTTGCAGACACTGGTGAGGACGCGGAAACGATCTTTGGGATTATCAAAGCTCCAGAGAACGAGTAAAATACTTTTTTTTTTTGTGCTGGCGATCAACGCTAACAGTTTTTCTTGTAGGATTTCGGTAGACAAGGCTGGCCCAGATAGTACTGAAGAGTGTTCTCCCAAAGAGACGCTTACGGCTAAGGCAGTTGCGGAACCGAATGAAAAGCCAAATAATACTTCTTCGGCCAGTAAATCTCACATTGGCCACGAGGATGAAGCATTTTTGTACGCTATCAAGTAAGTACTCTTTCCTGTCTAAGAAATTCACCTTATATACTTTAGTGATAGTGAAATTGGCAAGGACAAGTCACCAGAAGTACCCGTCGAACCTGACGAAAACACGACTGTTGATAGTAAAGATCGTTTGGAAGACAATCCGGATGTGGTCTTAGAGGATGCGACTACTCTGACGCCTCATGAAACCCCGGCTAGTGAGCACATGAAATCACCTCCATGCGACGCCGAATGTGAGGGGCTTAGTTTGACGGAGCCTGAGAATGAAGTTGGTAAAGCCATCGAGAAAACCAACGAAATGGACGAAGGTATGAGAGAAGATTGACACGATTTTTTGTTTACTAAACTCGATATGACGGTACGTGCAGATGATTTGGTTGACAGTGGTATGTTGACCGTCGGAACTGCTGAAGTAACTATTCAAGCCACGGAATCGAGCACCGTCGAAGGAACAAATGAACAAGTGACTGAAATTGTCACTGTCGTTAAGACTGCAGAAGATACTGCCGTCGAAATGGAAGTTCAAACCTTGGAGCATGCAACCGTTGATATTCAAACGACAGAGGTTTCACCTGAAGCCTCGGAAGCTCAAAACAATCAAACGGACGTCATTCTTGAAGTGGTGACAGCGCCTCGCTTAACAGAAGTGGCTTCTGGTTCTTCTGAAAGGTAGCGTCATATAGTTTCTCATTTTCTATGGAACTTATCTGTGTGTGTTAGGTTTCTTTCTCCTCCTCCTGAAGTATCAGATATTCCAGCACCGCATGCAGAAGGCACAGAAGAGACTACAGCAGTCATTGCCGTCAAAAAGGAAATTGAAACCATGGAGCATACTACCATTGATATTCAAACAACAGAGGTTTCACCTGAAGCCTCGGAAGCTGAAAACAATCAAACGGAGGTCATTCATGAAGTGGTGACAGCGTCTCACGTAATAGAAGTGGCTTCTGGTTCTGAAAGGTAGCGTCATATAGTTTCTCCTTTTTTATGGAACTTATTTGTCATATAGTTTCTCCTTTTTTATGGAACTTATTTGTGTGTCTGTTAGGTTTCTTTCTCATCCTGAAGTATCAGATACTCCAGCACCACATGCAGAAGGCGCAGAAGAGACTACAGAAGTTACTGCCTTCGAAATGGAAGTTGAAACCATGGAGCATGCTACCGTTGATATTCAAACAACAGAGGTTTTACCAGAACCTGAATACAATCAAATAGAGGTCATTCGTGAAGTGGTTCACATAACAGAAGTGGCTTCTGGTTCTTCTGAAAGGTAGCGTCACATAGTTTCTCATTTTCTATGGAGCTTATTTGTGCGTCTGTTAGGTTTCTTTCTCCTCCTGAAGTATCAGATACTCCAGCACCACATGCAGAAGGCACAGAAGAGACTACAGAAGTTACTGCCTCCGAAATGGAAGGTGAAACCATGGAGCATGCTACCGTTGATATTCAAACAATAGTGGTTTTACCAGAAGTTGAAAACAATCAAACGGAGGTCATTCGTGAAGTGGTGACAGCGCCTCACATAACAGAAGTGGCTTCTGGTTCTTCTGAAAGGTAGCGTCACATAGTTTCTCATTTTCTATGGAGCTTATTTGTGTGTCTGTTAGGTTTCTTTCTCATCCTGAAGTATCAGATACTCCAGCACCACATGCAGAAGGCACAGAAGAGACTACAAAAGTTACTGCCCTCGAAATGGAAGTTGAAACCATGGAGCATGCTACCGTTGATATTCAAACAATAGTGGTTTTACCAGAAGCTGAACACAATCACACGGAAGTCATTCGTGAAGTGGTTCACATAACAGAAGTGGCTTCTGGTTTTTCTGAAAGGTAGTGTCATATAGTTTCTCCTTTTTTATGGAACTTATTTGTGTGTCTGTTAGGTTTCTTTCTCCTCGTGAAGTATTAGATACTCCAGCACCACATGCAGAAGGCACAAAACAGACTACAGAAGTTACTGCTGTCGAAAAGGAAGCTGAAACCATGGAGCATGCTACCGTTGATATTCAAACAACAGAGGTTTTACCAGAACCTGAAAACAATCAAACGGATGAAGTGGTTCACATGACAGAAGTGGCTTCTGGTTTTTCTGAAAGGTAGCGTCACATAGTTTCTCATTTTCTATGGAGCTTATTTGTGTGTCTGTTAGGTTTCTTTCTCCTCCTGAAGTATCAGATACTCCAGCACCACATGCAGAAGGCACAGAAGAGACTACAGAAGTTACTGCCTCCGAAATGGAAGTTGAAACCATGGAACATGCTACCGTTGATATTCAAACAACAGTGGTTTTACCAGAAGCTGAAAACAATCAAACGGAGGTCATTCGTGAAGTGGTGACAGCGCCTCACATAACAGAAGTGGCTTCTGGTTCTTCTGAAAGGTAGCGTCATATAGTTTCTCATTTTCTATGGGACTTATTTGTGTGTCTGTTAGGTTTCTTTCTCTTCCTGAAGTATTAGATACTCCAGCACCACATGCAGAAGGCACAAAACAGACTACAGAAGTTACTGCCGTCGAAAAGGAAGTTGAAACCATGGAGCATGCTACCGTTGATATTCAAACAGAAGTTTCACCTGAAGCCTCAGAAGCTGAAAACAATCAAACGGAAGTAGTGACAGCATCTCACATAACAGAAGTGGCTTCTAGTTCTGATGAAAGGTAGCATCGTATAGTTTCTCATTGTTTATGGAACTTATTTGTGTGTCTGTTAGGTACCCTGAAGTATCAGATACTCCAATTGTCCATATCACTCCCACTGAAACCTCGGAGAGCGAGGCTGGTCCTCAGGATGAGATCGCTGAAAGCAATGCAGGGTAACTGCATTCACTATTCTCATTGATTGTTGTTTCTCACCTCCTATCTTATGTAGGTGCTTTGAAACTAGTCATCATGAGTCTCCAACACGCACCGAAAGTCTGGAACAAGGTGTCGATACCGAGGATAGATCGAAGGGTGGGGGTTCAAAGAGTGATGCTGGGGGAAAGGAAGCTGGCCATGGTGAAGCTACAGAGATTGTTTTCCAGGAAGTGAAATCTCCCAGGACGGACACCGCTTCACTGGAAGGATCAAGTCCCACAGCCTGCAAACGTACGGAAAGTCTGGAACAAGGTGTTGATGCCGAGGACAGTGGTGAAGGGAATAGTAGTGGGATCTCTTAGGACGGACACAATTTCACTGGAAGGATCAAGTCCCACAGCCTGCAAGCTTGCCGAAAGTCTAGAACAAGGTGACCATAAGGAGGACCGAGGGGATAAGGAAGCTGGGGTTGTTTACCTGAATCCTTGGACGTCGTGGAGGCTGCTCCACCACAAAGTATAGGTGGAATGGACGAAGCTGGCAGTCCAGTAGGCGGTGGAATTGGGAGCACAGGGGAGAGAAACATAGAAGAGAGCTCAAGGGACCAAGTTGAGAAGACTGAAACAGTACCAAAGGAGCAATGAGATTACTATGTATATAGTTCTGTTCTAACATTCCATAAAGATTTCTCTTCAGTATTATTACACTTCAGTATTATTACAGTTATGTGTTGTGTATATGGTGGGCTTGTCACAGTTGTTGGTGGGCTTGTAAAATTTTGCAACCTGTCATATATCAAATCGAAAGGTATGAAGTAGATTTGGAATAGATATTTATTTTTAAATTAAAAACGAAATCTAAAATTAAAAAAAAAAAAAAATTTAAATTTTAAACACTTTTTTACTAATTACAGCTTTCCAAGAAAAATAAAAACAGTAAAAATAAAAACAGATCAAATATATCAGCAAATTCATATAAAGTATGAATATATTATAAGAAAACATTTATATTTATAATATTAATCTACATGATTAACAAATGAAAATATCTAAAGTGCAATTTAAAACTGTAATACAATTTACAACATAATACAGTTTGTTTAACAGTATATAGAACAATATAGTCTAATATCAAATTTAATATATTTAGTATATGGAGTTATCTGTATATAATTTGTCATATTTAACAAATTTTAATAATCAAAAATAAAATTTTGCCTTGTGAAACTTGACAGCCATTTTTGTTCTAATTTTTACAGAAATGTATGTAATTGCGGTTAGAATAATATAATTGAGGGAAATTTCTAACCCAATACAGTATTTACTTTTTACTACAAACTTTTGTTACTTTAATTGCTAATTTGATGATTAAAACTAAAATTTAACTCAATTAAATTTAATTAGTAATTTTAAGTGAATTTTGTGAATGTATAGAATATGGAAAGAGAATATAGAAATGTGCATATCAATTAACCCAAAACCCTAGCTTATATACAGGAGGTCTGGATTGAAACCAATCCAACAACTATCAAAATCTCACTACACTAATATTAGTATATGGTATCGTAACTGTACACTTGAACCTCATATCATCTTATCTATAGAAGATAATTAGGGTTCTCTCATAGAAGGGCTGAGATCTAGAGGAATAGTAGGACATGGCATCGGTGGATCTATAGATGGTGCTAGTTGTTCCTAATCTCTTTATATGAAGCGTTAGAGCTATTGCATTTGCATAATTTTTGGAGGATCGGCATGTTAAACATCATGCCAAACCTTATAAATTTACTGTCCAACTTGCCACAACACCCAATATAGTCCCTTCCATTGAGCAAAGAACCTCTTAAACAAACCATATACCATAAAATTAAGAAAATGAACTAATACCAAGTTATCCACCTTGTACTCTATAGATGGATGATGATGGGGGCTATAACGTTGTTGTTGTCCCACTTGTACGCGGCTTAGGTGTTTGGCAAACTCTGCTTGAACAAGTGGAAGAATGCTGATCAAATATTAATCCCAAGACCTAGCATCAACAGCTTGTGGCAATTATGAAAGTAAACTCAACTCCATTGGTAATATCGAATCATAACTATATAAGAGTTTATATGGTGAAGCACCAACAAAACTTTGCACCATTGTGGCATATACATATTGAAGAGGCGGCAAATAATCATCTCAATCCAAATGTTGAAAGTTCATATACTTTACAATCATCCTTTTAAAGGTCTGAACAAGCCATTCCACCAAACCATCTAACTATGGATGATAAACACTCATAAAAGTATCCCCAACTAAGACATTGAAACATTGAAATGTCTAAGCCATAGATGCAAGACCATTATCCAAAAGAATTCGCTCCAGACAACAATGTTGGAATACCATTTTATTGAGGAGAAAGTACTCATTACCAATAGTCGACTGTGGAAGAAGCCCCATCAGATCAAATACCACCAATTCAAATAAACATGAAATTGCAATTGACTCCAATTGTCTTTCTGTAATACGAGGGGGAGTATTATAAGCTTAGCAATAAACACAACTACGCACATACTAAATAACATCATATCACATTTTTTGCCAATAGAAAGACCAACGTAGTTTCTTGATCAATCCCATATGCCCACATAGAAGAGAATCACAGTAAGCGTGGAGAAAGCGTGGAATAAAGATCTAAAGCACCACCAGCTGTAAATAATTATCAGGGTCCATCCCCACAAAATGAAGAAGATTATTTTTAAGGAAATATTGAGAATGTAAATGCCAAAATAGCAAATCATCAGCAAATGATACAAGATTTTCAAACCCATCATAAAACCTTCGAATCCATAATTCAATCTTTTGAGTTTTACGAACCTTGTCAAGAGAAGATAAATCTTGCTTTGCACCTTGTGGATATTAAACATCAAGTACAACAATTGCCAACAATATGGAATCTTTGTCCAAAAAATCCATAAATGTGAAAATAACAAGCTTATTAGAAACATGAAAAGAGAACGAAGAAGGAGAAAGGGTATCAGCATTAGCTATAAAACTCACCGAGTGATAAACAACATCAAAATCATATATCTGAAGCTTCAAAGCCCACTGAGCAATATGACCAGCCAAATTCTTCTACTTCAATAATAAAGTAACTGCAGTATAATCACCTTTTAGTACGTTCAAGAACCATGTAGATATGCATGAAGTTTCTCGACACCCCAAACTGCTGCTAAACACTCCTTTTATATCGTAGAGTAGTTCATCTCCGCAAGTTGTAATGTATAGCTAATATATAGGATAGCATTGATTAAACACATTTGAACTCTCTTGCATTAACATACCTCCAAGACCGATATCAAAATCATCCACATGCAAAATGAAAAGTCAAGTGTAGTTATGATAGGTCAAAATCAAAGGAGTCGTCAATAGCTCTATAAGATTTGTAAATGCCTGCTCACAATTTGCAAACTAAATGAAAGATAATATTGACGACTTCAACAACACTCGCACTGATGCAGTGCGATAAAAAAGATGATGAACAAAACAACTGAGATATTACACTTTACCCAAGAAATGCTACACATCATTCACATACTTTAAATTAGGGAAATTTAAAGAAAAGCTATAAGAAAATGGAGATTTAGACAATATAAAAGCTAGATCTAAGCAAAAATCCTAAATCTTAGCACTCCTTAGGAACAATTAAAGATGCCTCTCAACTCCACTAATGTGAGTGTATGGAATATGAAAAAAGAATATAAAAACATGTACATCAACTAACCCAAAAACCCTAGTTTATTTATAAGAGTGAATGGTCCAGATTAAAACCAATCCGACGGTTACCAAAATCCTATTATGCTAATATTAGTATATGGCATCGTAGCCATACACTTGGGACCTTACAATTTTAATTTTCCAAATTATAGAAAAATTATCATTCTTCTTCATAAAAAATTCTAGAATGACTTAGTTAACATATTATATACACCACATGAATTATAATAATTTTGATAAAAAAAATTGATACATTTGACAGAAACACTATTAATGGTTAATAAAGCATATGAGATTTTTGGGGTATGCTGATCAAAAGTATTATATATATTTGTAAATTACACTTTAAATACCAAATAATCCATAGACTTATGTAATATATATTCAATGTTTTATTTAGAAAATTATATTTCTATGTATTTTTATATATTTCTAATCTATAAAATAGTAAATTTTATTTCATTTTTTATATAATTCTGTAATTTAAAATATAAAAGTTAATAAAAAATATTATTTATTTATTGAGTTTTTCAATTTTTTAATCATAAGCTAAACTATCTTAGGCTTAGGAAAGCATTTAATTTAATTTAAACATATGTAATTTTAAATTATCATCAATTGTAATGTTTTATACAATGGTTCCTAGGAACCATATAAAATTATATTTTTATGAAAAATTATAATTGACGATAATTTATATACTACATATGTTTAGGCTAGACTAAACCCTCTTCTATGTCTAAAATAGTTTAGCCTAAAATCAATACTTTTTTATCTTGTGTTTTCAATACAAAAATATAATAAAAATTAAAAGTACATATATTTTTTATAGATTAAAAATATCTATGGAAATATGTAGAAATATATTTTTCAAATAAAATATTTAATATATATGCAAGTTTATGGAGAATTTATTAATTATATCTTATTAGTATCTGGTATTCAATGTATAATATACTAATATGTATAATTACTTTTGATCAGCATACCCAGAAAAAACTCATATAGTTTATTTACCATTAATAGTGTAACACTAGGTGGTTAGACACTGATTTATGGATATGACTAAATTTCTTCAGCCAACAGTGACAAGACTGATCAATTCACCAGGTTGTCTACAGAATAATGTTTTTATATTCTATTGGAGTTACAAGCTTCCCATGATTAACTTCTCACATTGCAATGGGAGGATTTAAAGAGATCAGAGAATCTCACACTTAACACTTGTTAAGTGTGGGATATTCACATGGTACTCCAATTATGTGCACTATTTTAGATCTTCTAGCAAAACATAACATCCCAATTCAATATATACATATCACAACTAAAGCCTGAAATGCAAGAAGATTGGAGATGAGGAACGTAGATTACTTTTCTATTAGGCAAAACTGATTGTAAACATTCTTTTTCCAAATTTATTGATTTTATAAAAACTATTGATTGACTACCTCAGTCACGCTTTCTGGCTTTTCGATAAGAGGATCAGAATCCCGAAATCACGCAGAGCGCCATACAATCTCTAAACACCCTCGACATGAGCCACGGCCGTGCAGAGAGGCATATTTGGACAGTCTTTCCACTTGGTTAAAGAGAGCTCAATATGATACACTTTTACATCAATTTCTAGATCTTGCGTACAATTAGTTTGATCTATAAACCGGGATTTCTTTTAGATCTTCACGAACGAAATGCAACAGATCATCCGCATCACCGTCGCTGCTTCAAGGTCGATCCACATAACTTTGCCACCTTTTCCAACGATGATGTTGGAGGACTCAACTCGACCGTGAGGCGCATTTGCCCTGTGTATTACGCTCAAGGCAGACTTTGCTGACTATCCTTGTAGAGCTCCTCATAATTTTTGTCGATGCTTGTTCTTCCAATGTCTTGCATGATGGTAAGCCAGATCCCGCCATCGAGGAAACCAGACGCATAGAGGCGAGGGATA